GCACTAGATAAACACGATTTATCTAGTGATGATATCCCCTGTTGATTTTATCTGGTTGCATCACATCTATTTTCTTTCGCGTTTTTTCTTTGCCTCATGTGCCTGTCTTGAGGTAAGAGACTCAACTATAGATTTACTCCGGGAACAGTCTTTTTCATTTCCCCCACATTCCTAAAAGTAATGCCTTGTTTTATTCAGGCCCTATGATGGGTGATGGGTATAAAACCAAGTCGGGTATTCTGACTCAGCTGTTTAAAAGATGGTGCTCTCTGCCCCTCCCCAGCCTTTCTCCCTGCTCCCCACGGGGTGGGCGGGTAGGGGTGGGGTTCCGCAGCTAGTTCGAGGTGGTTAGCTGGGAGGTAGGAGGCAGGAGCCAGCCTACCCCTGAAGATCAAAGGAAGTGTTGAGCCAAGACTCCCGGAGGAAGCCGACTGACTCTGACTCAAAATGCCACCTCCTGCTCCGACAGTTTCCACAGGCAGAGCCAGAATTGGAAAGACAGGATGCTGAGCTGAGGAAAGATGCTCTGCGGGCCAGCTGTGCTCAGCTCGCGTGTCCCTCTGTACCGCAGTGACCTAGAACCTTCCCTGGATTGAGGCTCTACTTGGGGTGTGTCCGCAGCGGGACACGCAGCAGCTGTCCTAAGACCGCAGCCGGAAAGGGATGGAGAAGACATTGTGGACTCTCAGGCTGGGAACACAAGTCTCCTTCCCCTTCCATCTTCCGTGAAGCCCTCTTCCAGACTGTAAAACTGGAATAGTCTTTCCCTTCCCCTTCTCCTCCTCCCTCCCTCCTCCCCGCTGCGCTCACCCCCTGCTCGCCTTCACCCCTGGCGTCACGACTTGCACTCAATCACTTTCCTACTTCCTGAAGCCCAGGGCGCTGAATCCTAACAAGCCCGACTTTTTCCACCCGAGTGAGGCAGGTATCTGCAGATCTGGGATTGAGCGGAGGGAATCTCTTGCAAGAAGTGTAAGTCTACGGTGCCCAGAGTTCTTTCTTCCGTAGGGGTCTAAGGAATCCAGCCTCTAATCTACCCAGGTTTGAAATGAATTCATCGACTAATAACTGGAATTTATCTTCGAGGGCACGAGATGAGCACCCACACTATTGGGCCACATCCCTAGGACAGATCTCGTGTTTTCTGAGGATGAGAGACTTGATTTCTAGCCCGGCAGTTAGATGCCTGTTACTCTAGAGTGAACAGAAAACTGAATTAAGTTAGAACCCGGAACTGGAAGCCTCTTCACACACACACACACACACACACACACACACACACACACACACACACACACAAGCATACACACATAACCATGATTCAATTTGTACCTAAAAGATGGAGATCCTATTGGAAAGAAACTTTTAAGTTATCAATAGGTATTTACTATATATATACATACATTACACACACACACACACACACACACACACACACACACACACACGCTTTTCCTTTGCTTTGCTGCCTTTTTGTTTCTCTAATTAAACATCTCAAATCTCAGTTCTAAGTGTCCCCAGACCACCAGCAGAAGCTAGTGAGTGACACCAATTCTAGGACCTCCTGCTCCATACCTCCAGAATCAGTCTCTCTAGAGGATGAGAACTCACGGAAGCAGAGCAGGCTTCAAAGTCACCTGGGTGGTGTTCACTAAGGAATATATATATATATATATAACCAGTGAATGCTGGAGCTCTGTTTACTCTTACTTTTGGAGTAGGTCTTCGATTTGACTATGGGCAAATCTGCTAAAAGTACGTTGTATCACTTATGAAAATTGTAAGTCTTACAAGCATTGGCAGAAAGAGGAAGAAAGAGAGGGAGGGAGGCTAGGAGGGAGGGAGGGAGGGAGGGAGGGAGGGAGGGAGGGAGAGTGTCATTCACTGCCACATTACGAATCTGTGTCTGAGAACTTTTGGAAGCGCTTCATTTTCCTTCCAGATGGCTATAGTGATTTGGTTATTTGACCGGTCCTTCTGAAAGTGCTATCTCTAAGATACTTTTTCACAGCTTAAAGGTCACATGCCGCTCCTCATCCCTCACCCTCAGCTCTTCTGGCTTGGAGGAAAGGTGTCCACTATTCCTGCTTGGCCCACTGCATATTAAGTTGTGGCACAGGGAGCTAGGCTGGGTACCAGGCAGCCAAGGAATTGCACACTTTGGGGGAAGCTGTGAGAGCAAGAGGCTCGGGGAAGATGAGCATGGTGAGTGTGGGCACCATCTGGTATAGAAGGGGGTAGTGACAGAGATGTTTAGGCTGTGAATGGATGAGAGATAGAGGTAGAGATAGATAGATAGATAGATAGATAGATAGATAGATGGATAGATGATAGATAGATAGATAGATAGATAAGTAGATAGATAAGTAGATAGATAGATAGATAGATAGATAGATAGATAGATAAAGCACACAAGCACACTCACTCCCAGGGAGTATTTGAAGCCCAAATCCAGTTATTCGCTCTCAGAATTTACACTCATCCCATCCAGTCTCTAGCTCTGAGGACACAACTCTGTCCAGACCCAGAGCTCAGCCGAACCCCTTGATAGGAACGTTTGTCCCTATCACTCGATGTTAGCATCATCTTGAGCTCTGTCTTTGCTCACCGAAATTTTCTGGATTTAGGGTTTTGTGGGAGTCATCTTGGGAGACAGTTTTGGACAAATCCAGAGAACACCAGAGAGAGGTGGAACCGTATGGGGGGGTCACTGCTTTGAGGAGACACTTTTCAGTCTGTGCAATCAAAAGACCATCGCCAGTGCATTAAAAACACACATTTGAGCTTCCTGCCTCAAACATTTTCAGTTTGGGTGTAGCATAGACACCTGCCAACTCATACAAGTGCTGGATATTTATTTGTTGGGTCCTGTCTGTCACAGAGAGGTCACACATATTATAATCTCATTGAGTTGTATTAAAAGCTCAATTAAATTAATTAAAAGTTGTATTAAAAGGCACTCCCTGAGGAGAATACAAATCCAGTTATTCCTAACGTCATCATCATTTTTACTTGCAAGGAAGAGAAAAGAGGATCTGGCCCTTTGAGGAAACTGCCCCGTGTGGAACCAGGACTTTGGTTTCTCATAACCTTTCTCCTCAAGTCAAGGCTTCGGATTATAAGTAAGAGAAACAACGGCTTTAAAAAACGTTTGTAATAGTAGAGAAAGGGAAAGAAGCTAGGGTTCTGCGGGGTCGCCAGCGCAAAGTGCTCAGAATGTCAAGAATTTACTTGGTTTGTAAAAAACGTGACTAGAAACTTGGGAACGCTTGCTGGGCTAACCGCGCACACGTAAGTGAGTCATGGTGGTGACACCAACCTTCCTTCCCTCAGAATCTCTGGATCAGTCCTTGGTGAGGACTGTGCTTCTGAGTGTGAGCAGGTAGCACCTCCTAGAGTTTGAATTGAGCTCTTGAAAGTCAAGTTGGGAGGGGGTCAGGGGAGTCGCCTGACAGACACCTTGAAATACCCTCCAAGGCAAGTGTGCAAAGGACGTGGAGGAAGAGTCACTAGCCGTGGAGCTTTGCCTTGGTGGCGCGGTGGCTTCCCAGGAGGGACAAGGCTGTGGGGTAGATGTTTCCAGGACGGCTCCGCCCCGCGTGGCCTTTGGGGTTGGCTGGAGGTGTAAGCGCAGGAGAGGAAGTTATCCTAATGCTAGGTACCAAACCCAGTTAGAAATGGTGGGGGGCGGGTGGGGGGCGTTGAAACGAAAGAGCAAGCGCAGCGGAAGTTTCAAGGCCTCTGCGAGGGATAACAGTATAAATAACCGAGGGCGTCTTGTAAACACTGCGGTCATAACCCCGAACATTAAACAGCCGCGGTGGCATCTGGCGCATCGCCTCGGCGGGCTGCGCTGGGGCAGAGGCAGCAGGGTCCCAGGCTCCTCGGCCTCGCCTCTATGTTTATCTCAACCTAATCTTCCCCAATGAGCTGTTCCTCAGCCGGGAAGATGTTTAAGTTAAGATCCGGCCGGCCGGAAGTCTTGGCCTGAGCTGAATGCAAGGAGTAACCGCACCCGAAAAAGCAGGCTCACACGCTTAGTGTTGCAATTAATTAATTATCAGTAGGAAACAAGCGAAATATCTTCTGCATTTGGAATTCACACGTAGCTCCAATTCCTTTTTCACTGGTTTGCAAGCAGGTATTTTTTTTTTTAAATCACAGCCTCACACAGAAAGTTATAAAACTTTCGTACAGTTTATTTCCCCCGCTCTTCTGAACAGCTACACTGTAAAATAGTGGAGAACTGGATTTTCTTTTTCTTCGTTGTCCTCGGGTCTGTGTGACTGGATGACTGTAACCCTATTCACTATTTACAGTTATAATGCTTTTTAGTGGGAAGAAGAACTCTTAAAAATTTTCGGTGGGAAACATGGCTTCTCTTTTCCTAGTGGGAATAGAATTAATCTTTTATTAGAAGTTTGGATTAAATAACCACCTTTAAAAATCATTAAACATTCACATACTTTCCACTGTTCTTCACAGATTTTTAAAAGAAATCACACCAAATGCCTAGGCTTTTTAGCAATATAAAGAAAGATTTATTTCCGAAAGTAGCAAAACCTGTTTGAAAAAAATATATATTTCTTTGAGTGACTTACTTTATAAAATGTGACTGTCAAAGTCAGCTATTCTATGATCTACATTTTACAACATATTGTACAAAAGATACACATTGATAGGCTCTTATTATCTATTTATATATATAATATATATATATATATATAATTACATATTGCACTTGGACCAGCCAGGCTCGCAGTCATCCATGGCAGAAGTTAATAAAGTTAAATAGATGGGAATCTGTAAGTACAGTTGGTCTCCTTTGGTTTGGAAACGAATCTCCTCGTCGCGGTTAAGTGTTCTCGCGGGGTGAGATGGGGAGAGGAGCGACGCAAGGCTTGCAGCGGAGACGGGGAGGGGAGGGGAGGGCAGGGGTCGTCGCCCTCGCTGGCCCACTGCCCCCGGAGCGCACGGTTCCCAGACTCGCACCTCCAAGGTCAGGACGCAGTGGTTCCACACAAGCGGCTGGCGGTCACCACTTCCTTCAAGTCACTCTCGGGTTTGCCGGCCACCATAAAGGGCCACGTCTGCAACACAGAAGAGGGAGGAGGAGGTAAGTACTCTTGGACAGGGGGAGGGGTCAGCCGGAGCCCCAGTTACAGGAGGGGCGCCTGCGTGAGGGCTAGGAGCCTGGAGGGCAGGGATCTGCAGTTTACTAGGTGTGTTAGTGCCTGGCAGGATAAAGCAAACCCCTCCAGGTGGTGGTGGTGGTGGTGGTAGTGGACTTTTAGAACTACTGCTAAAGAGGTCTCATCCTGGGTTCTGAGTGGAACCCTCAGCCACAACCTCAAGGCAGATACTCTAGGAGTCTTAGCAGGGATGGGGAGGATTACTACCCTAACTCCAGGCTGCTGCTGAGGGTCTACGGAGGCACTGGTCCAGCATCCTTGGCCTTCTCGCCTTTATAGACTTCCATTTCTCCCCCAGTGCAGTCCTAGCTATGACCACAACTTTAAGCCAGTCAGTATCCCTGGAGGAGTGTGTGCTGTTAATAAAAGACATAGTGGCATTTTATTAAAGATCCCTCTACTCCAGAGAAAGCAAAGCTCGCCTCTTTCCTTTCTTCTCCCCCCCCCCCCCCCCCCCCCCGGGCTGTTATATAATGAAAAGAATTCAACTTTTCTTTTTTCTTTTAATACTTAAAGATGAAAGAAGCAGCAATTAAAAATGTTCTGATCGATAATCTCATTCTAGTTTTAGACTGTAAAAACGGCTACTCATCACACTAAAAAAAATAAACTTTTATTTGGAGGGAAAATATTTTTCCTGGCAAAATGTGTTTTAGCACCCCCTCCCCCAGTTCCTGAGGGCAGCTGAGGGAGACAACTCAAGCCTCTCTGTAAGTGCTGGCCTGAGGGATATCGCGTCCTTATCATAAGTAAACAAAAGTCCTAGTAAAAGGTGGCGTGTTCTTTAGAGCCTGCACGTTTTAAAATAAAATCAAACGAAAGAGGAAGTTTAAAAAAAAAAAAAAACCCTAAACAGTAAAACGGCTCTAAGAAAATTGGTTCAGTAATGAGCATTTGATTTTTAAAAATTAGGCTTGGTGGACACGAGTTATTAAGGTAAAAATCAAGTCGCTCTTCATTGTGACTGATCAAACCTACGACTGCAATACTATTCAGGACACGAAGACCTGAGCGGATTTACTGCGTATGTGGACAGTGGCTGGAATTTCTGGGATTTAAAAATGGTAATCGACTTAGTCAAGCACAGAATATTTAAGTAGCTGAGGGATTTGCGTGGACAGTTATGGAGGTGGAGGGACATAAATATGTCTGCATTTAATAGTCTTAAATATACCCGGGCATAGGACAGAGTTGGATGTTTACAAGAGTCAGAAGGGAACTTAAGTCTTGCTCCCAGCTAAAAGAGGCATAGTCAGATGTCTTCTGGGTGCTCAGCATCTTGTCAGTTTCATGACAGCGGAAATGGCGCTGGCACCCTTCGCGGGGATCCCTCGTCCTTGCCAGCTGAATACCCTCGGAAATCCCTTAATGGGGTGCCACGTCAAACCCTTGCACAAATCACTCGCGGGCTCGCAGCACTCAGCGCAGAGAGCCAGGGCGCTGGCTGCGTGGAGCCTGCACGGAGGTCCCCAGAAGTGGTAGGCCGGCGGTGGCCAAGGTGTCAGGGGATCACCCGGGTCCCCAGGCCCAGCCAGCGGAGAGGAGGGGGAACTCACCAGGTTGACTGGGTGAATGTAACCGTTCTCGTACTTGTCGTTGGCCAGGATCTGCCTCAAGTGCGCGATGTAGCTGGACGCCAACCTGAGCGTGTCCAGCTTGGAGAGCTTGGTGTCCGGGGGCACCCAGGGCAGGGTGGTCTTGAGCCTGGAGAAGGCCTTGCTCAGCACCCGCATGCGGGCCCGTTCGCGCGCGTTGGCAGCGTTGCGCTGGACCTGCTTCCCCTCCTGGCTGACCCCGCTCAACGGGCTCTTCTTGGTGGGCGCCTTCCTCCTCTTGCCCAGGCCGCCGCGACCCTTCTGTGGAGACCCGTTCTCGCAGTTGGAGCCCTCCTCCGTGCTCTCGTTGGAAGTCACAAACTCCTTGTTGGAGTCCACTTTCAGGGCGTCACATTCCAGCATCTCCACTTCTTGAAGGTCTTCTACATCGCTGAGGGAGCCAGTGGACATGTTTAGAGGGGGATGGAGGGGAGAGAGAGAGAGAGAGACACTGGAACTAAAGGGTCTTTAAAGGGTATGGAGCTGCCACTTCGTGTGTTGGGGGTTCGAGTGGGGATCTGGCAGCTTGGTCTCACAGCTTCCCCTTCGCAGAGTTGTGGAAGCGACCACAGGGGATCCTGAGACAGGGAAACCAGGGCGCTATTTCCCCACCCCCGGAGTCCTGGCTTTAATGGAGAGTGAGAGAGCGCCGAGGAATTTGGTGAACACTAGGAATTTATCTGGGGAATAGAGAGGCGGATCCATGCAGCCCAGGGGAGGGGCCTGCTAGGCCCTGCCGACTTCCTAGACCCCTTTCAGAAGCACTGGAGACTCTCAGGCACAGACCCGGGTTTCCAGCAATCGTTCACCACATTCATGTACCAGTTTCTTTCCTCCATGCTGATTCAAGCCAGGGGGGTACCAGCCCTACTCAGAGCCCTTGCCTCTGCCCACCTCCTAGGGCCCCATTTCTTCCAAGGGAGTCTTAACTGATTGTTACTGAGAACTTCAGAGAAATGGCCAGGTCCTTTGCTCTTCGTGGGCCTTCCCCCTAAAACATCTCACAGGCACCCCTCCTTCCCAAAAATACCAATTCAAATCCAGCTGCCCCTGGCTAATACCCCATAAGACCACAGAGCTTTACGAAGATTGCATTCCCATGTACCGGATGATATCACAGTCCTAAGTCCTATCAGTCACGACAGAGACTTACTCAATAAGTCATGTCCACCGAACCAAATTTTTGAAAAACAAATGCCGGTCACTGAGCCGATTTTTTTTTTTTCAGATGCATTTTACTGTTTAAGTTTTAACTGAGGTAAATTGGGAAAGGAAGTGTGTCACAAAATCTTTGTGGTGCTGGAGAGAAATTATAGAAAGGAAGGAAGAAAGAGAAACTAAGAAAAAAAATCCATTAATGCACTGTCAATTTGAAGGTACCAGGGAACTGCTAGTGCAGAGGGACACACTTGACCATTAAGTGCACACACACACACACACACACACACACACACACACACACACACACAGAGTTGACAGGGGATGGGTAGGGAATGAGAGAGGTCATATGGATCTTGTGGAGCATATTTTGCTAGCTGAGAATCTTTTCCCAATGAGATGAAAACTTTTCGTGCAAATTCTTGCCAGAAATTCAGTCCATGGGGTGTTAAAGAGTCAGCCAGTCCGGAATATCTCTTTGCCTGACACCTTTTGCAAAAACTGCGGAGGATTTCCTGCTCCTACAGCCTTTCTCTTCTCCCATCATCTTGGCTACCAGGGTTCCTCCTGGAAAGCTGACCTAAGGAAACAGCAAGGGAGACCATGGCTTTGGGAAAGTTTCCACCGTTAACTCCATCTGGGACCATCTTTCTCAGGGAATGAGATCATCTTCTGGGGTAGGGAGTACGAAGAAAAGCAAAGGAAAACAGAGCCCAAGGACCGAATAAAATAGATGCCACGAATCCAGGGAGATGAACTTCATTTTCTCCGTCAGATTTTCTTGTCTGACAATCAGACTCTGAGAACAGGGACAGGAGCAAGACACAAGGGTAGCTCTCAGCCTCTGACTCAGAGTCCAAGCCCCGCTGTTCCACTCAGATCTGTGTCTTTAATCCAGGCTCAGCTGGGAATTCACTAACCTCTAAAGCTTTGTTTTGTTAGTAGAGATTTGTTTGCTTTCCCCCTATGCTGTAAACTAAACAGATTGTCAGCAAATCAGTCTTTATTAATGAATTAGTGATCCCTCTCCCCCCCATAATATCTTTCCTGAGGATCCAAAATTTGTTAATCACCAGTGTAGAGATTTATGAGCTCTTATTTTCTGTTGTTTGTGCAGGTGGAGATTTAAATGACCATATCCACTCCCAAGATTTATTGCAAGAGTGATTGATGTTATAAACCAGGAAAGGACTCTTCCCACAGCAGGGATGACAGAAATATCAAGTTGAAGTTGCCTTTGTCTTCATGCACAAATGAACCAGTACTGCAACACAGCCAGTGTTAAGAGAACACCCAGCAAGCTGGCTAGGAGGCTCCCTGCTGATTCCCAAGCTAACCTTCTTTGATTTGCTCAGTACCCCTATTGCTCAGTTTCAGTAAGACGTGAAAGCTGTTGGCTTTAAGAATAAGGGGCTATATGAGAATGGGCCAGCACTTTGTGCGTGTGTGTGTGTGTGTGTGTGTGTGTGTGTGTGTGTGTGTGTGTGTGTGTAGCAACTGAGACATCTGCAAAAACAGCCACAAGTCTTTATTTGCATTACAGAACAGAACGAGGTGATGATTAAGAATATTGACTATGGTGGCCTTATTACCAGATTGCTAAGCTGTGGAAATTTAAATTTTCATTTTTGGGGCCTCACCCCCTTTGTCCTTTCCTTTTCTTTTTGGGGAACAGTGTCAACCACAGAAACACATTCCTCTGAAGACTGCTGTCTTCCTCCCCCCCTCCAATGTTGGAAACTTAAAAAATAGCAGTTTTTAGAAGAGAGCACAGCTAGTCATTATATCATAATCTAGTTTTTATGACTGCAATTAATTTTTCTTTATAGCAATGTAAGCAATAATTAAGTCTCCTGTCCATTTATCTCTTGGTGATATATTCAGGCTGGGAAGGGCCGGCAGATTGATAATGAGGTTTGAAAAATTTCTGAATTTTTTCGAGAAATGGCCATCAGTTTGGGAATAAGATGTGAAAAAGGCTGCCATTTAGGTACCTTGATGCCAAATTCTGAAGAAAGGAAATTAATAATATGCTTTTTTTTCTCTTGGATTTTGTTTCTATCTCTGCTAATAAACATTAAGGGACAAATGGGTGGAGAAAAGTGACTGATTGTTGGATTCCACTGAACGAATCAGTTAGGCTGTAACTTAAGCTTTGCCAAATCCCCCCACCCCCAAATATAAACTATATTCTGTGAGAAGAAAAGCACTTTTGGGAAGCTAATTAACCCTTACAACAACAGGAGGATTGCTTTGAATGTGGCCATTTCATAGCGGTAAACAGAAGACTCCTGCTTTAAACACAGGAGATAGACCCATCCTTACCTTACTTTTAAATCACAGCTCATGTCTCAGAGGCATCTGGCCAATTTATCGCACACTTCTAACAATTTGTTTTGCTAGAAAGGCTGTCTTTGAAAGATTTTTAGGGCTAAGGAAAATTTATCTCCAAAAGTTGTAAAATGAAGATTAGGCATGGAATGTGTCCTTGAACTTCAGTGCTGCTTTATCAGCTGATGCGTTTTCAGGAAGTTCATATTTGATTCAGTTGCTTCCCTTTTTTATGGGAAGGGAAACATCACAGGCTTCTTTTGAACTGAATGTTATACCATAACTTTATATTCTGGGGATTGGAGGAAATCTTCCTTTAAACTGAAATATTTATTCTTTTCTTTTATTCCTAGCACAGGGCTAGAAGGCATCCTGGATATCAAATCACCAAAACGGTGCTAACCACCCCATCTTCAACATTATCAGTGACTTACATGCAGATCAGTTGCCACAGCACTAAGATTTATGGCTGACAAATGACAATAATAATAACTAAAGAAAGATTCTTTGTGGTTCTTTGGATCTAAGAGTTAATCTTGCACCTCACATTTCGTATTCCATATGATCTGTAATGTAGGGGTCTTCCTGCCACTCACCTGGGTCTCTATGCAGCTCAGGCTAGCCTGGAACACCCTATGCAGTCCAGGCTGTGTCTTCTGCTTTCTGTTTCCACCTCTGGAATCCTGGGGTCACAGGCCTGTGATACCACTCTGAGCTCCTAATGTAGTTTTGAAGGCAGCTCAGCCCATGCAGTTGAAGGTCTGGGTTTATTCTAAGGAGCAAACAATCTGAATGGAAATTAGGCATAGAGAGGCAAACACTTCACACAGCCAGATAACATCCTGTTTTCTTTTTTTTTTTTTTTTTTGGTTTTTCGAGACAGGGTTTCTCTGTGTAGCTTTGCGCCTTTCCTGGAACTCGCTTTGGAGACCAGGCTGGCCTCGAACTCACAGAGATCCGCCTGGCTCTGCCTCCCGAGTGCTGGGATTAAAGGCGTGCGCCACCACCGCCCGGCCCAACACCCTGTTTTCTAATACTAAAGAGCAAAACTGATGGAAAGACTTCCAAGGCACTTTTCGCACAGGGAGCTTTGTTTGCATTCTTTCAATTTTTAACGGTCATTCCTTTTTTTTTTTTTTTTTTTTTGGTCATTACTAAAGAAAAACCTACTGTATGAAATTAAAATATTTATTTAAAACATGTTCCAGAGGCTCTTCCAGGTGACAGTGAAGTTGTAGGAAAGTGGGTTGTGATGACTGTCCTGTGCCTTTTTGTTTGTTTGTTTTTAGAGACAGGGTTTCTCTGTGTAGCTTTGGTGCCTGTCCTAGAACTCGCTCTGTAGACCAGGCTGGCCTCAAACTCAGAGATCCGCCTGGCTCTGCCTCCTCAGTGCTGGGATTAAAGGCGTGTGCCACCACCGCCTGGCAATTGTCCTGTACATTATCACCAAGTTTGAAAGTGAAATCTTCTTGCTTTCCTGAGAATGAATCTCATGGGTCATACAGGAGACATCTCTAAATTGCATATTAAACAGTTTATTTATATTATATTGTATATATTATAAGATATATACAATTGTATATATATTTGTATATTCAATACAGTTGCTTGATAGACATGAGGAAGAACAGGTTAACCTGTGGGTGGGGGCCTTCTTGTCAGGTTAGGAGAAGGTGGGCTGACGCACAAGCTTATGATGAGGTTGGACCCTGGAACAGGCTGGAAAGTTCTGAGATAAGTGAATCCTGACTTCAGGAGCATGAAATTTTTCCAGGTACTATCACATTTTAGCTAGAGACACATAGTAATGTATTGTTTGAACTGGATTGGCCAAGGACCAAAGAAGCCTCATATGGTCAAAACTTCTATTCCCACGAGATGTCGGTGACAGTACAGCCATTGAGCCTGTCGCCCGATTAACC